TTATCATACTGCAGTCCATTGGCTAATAATTTAATGGCTAGATTCAGAAATGACCATGATGAAGTGATTTTGAGAGAGACGTCCATTAATGGAGATCTGTGACCATGTTGATGTTTTAAATAAATAAGTTTATATTTAATAATTATAAATAAATGTAGATACTTACTATAATACCCAGATTATGCTACATTATTACAATATATTGTTTGTATTAATAAAATTATTACTTTAATTCGTAAAACTTGAATGTACTTATTAAGATTTTTGTATTAAGTGATCAGGTATACAGTAAACTATTTTTGACACAATATTACAAAATTTTTATTCAAATTAATCCAAAATTCAATCAAAAATCCTTCAAAAAACTTATATAAAGCTCAACAATTTCGATGTAAAAACATGTAATGAATATTTGAAACCCAGAATATTTTATTAAAAAGATTATTGAATACTAACACCTCATATAACTATCGTTTGGAAAGTTTATATGGTTTAAAGTCGTACTTCTGATACCATTCCTCACCACCAGCCATGACTTCACCGGCGAGTTATCGTTTAATTGAGTGTTAATTGCATTAAAACTTTTGTGAAAAGCATTTACTTTTGCTAATAAACTCAATTTATACATCAATTCACTGCTCATTGAATGTGTGTTTAATTTAGTAATGATTTTATGAAAATATAACATTAATGTCACAACAAAACAAACACTTATTTCTGAATAACTATTAAAAACTAATTATAAGTCACTTTTTAATTTATTGATTAAACTCTAAATGCATTAAAGAGTCAACACTTGTAAAGAAAATAAAACAAAATAAAACATTTCACTGTTTATATGATTATCATAATAAGCTATGGGAATCCAAGGTAACTAGGCTATTTTTGTTCACATTTTATTATAGCCCAGGGTAATTTTTGTGTAGATATAGCTAACTATACACCTATGTTGTCTATATTTAACTATACATTGTAACCTCTCTGTGCTATATTTAACCCTAAAAATAGACATTCCTGCTTAATGTAATGTACATAAATTATAAAATAAATATACTGTACTTTATTCTGTGAAAAGTTTTTTAATGCTCTCTCTCTCTCTCTCAAACTGAAAATTAAAACTATTGTACCCACTTTAATTGTATACTATAATTTTTATATAGAATTTAAATCTCAATTCAAAAATATATAAATAATCAAAGGTTTGTTATGGCAAATCTGTATAATACTGTAAAAACATTTAATTTCCGAGAAAAGATCGCCTAATATTATACAAACATATCAATTACACTAATAATACACAAACATTATTATCTAATATGCCATATATTTAGTAGACTATAACAAAAATATTCACATACTATATCATGTGTTTGCGATATGTTTGTTTTTTATGAACTTTATATTTCCTTTGAAATCTATGCAAATAATATCACTCATTGTATGGCTTATCAGTGACAAATTTTGTTTATATTAATATTACATTTACTGTATTTAAAATTATCCAATATCAACTAGCTACAGTATACACTTTGATATTTTTATAAGTTTGTATACTATATAAACCTTTATTTATTTTTTATTTTAAAAATTGCTTATTAAGAATTTTTAATAATTATGTATTCCTGTATATAACTCTTTTAATTGGCTATTTGGCTAATATCTAATGACTTAGACACCGAGATCGTACTTGTAACGCTATAATAAGATAAGTTTTTCAATTTACTTTCAATTGAAATATTTGTCTTTTTCGAGTTTACTTTTCAAATGTTAAATTGAATATAGCATTTACTTCGAGCTATGATTTTGTATATTATTGTACTAAACTAATATTTTTTGTAATATATTCCGTGTTTTGGAAGTAGTTATGTAAATTACATCATTTTCATAATACAAATAAATTTTTGGATATTGTGCAAATATGTAATATTATAATTTTTTCTATAAAAATAGCTTTATTTCTAACATATTAAAAACTCTTTGATATATTCTGTTAAAAACTATGCCGAAAGTGTTTTGGCATTAAAATAATAAAACTTTTTACTTTCTAATATACCGAGAAACTAATTAATAAAACCAGGAAAATGACAAAACTTGTCTACCTGTCCATCATATACGCAAACCTCATACTAACCCAATGCGCTGACCAACCACTGAACACCAGTGCCAGTGAACAGCCTATCCTATTATTCAACTACGATGACAATGGCATTATGTACGACTACTTGGACCACAACCGCAAAGTGATTGAGAATGAAAAGTCGCAAACACTATACAAAACCCCATATAAAGTGAAAGGACTCGATGTGGACATCGAGGACAAGTACTTGGTGTGGTCGTCGGGTGAGTACCCGTATGTGATCTACTTGGGTGAGTACGAGTCGCGAGTGGATCCCGAGAGTGAACGGACTCGGCTCCAGGTCTACAAGCGATCCATAATCATAGCCAACAGCTGGAAGCCCAGTCGCGTGGCCATCGATTTCATACACGATTTGGTCTATTATTTCAATTACACTAATCTTAACGTTATTGACGCCCATCGGCCGGAAGTAAGCTATAGGCTGACCGACAATAAGCCCCAACAGTATGTGTCCAGCGAGTTGCTGAGCACCGGTAACCTCGTGGTGAACCCGTACGAGTCGTTCGTGGTGTGGGGCGAGTACTTCCCGGTGAACGGGTCGGCCACTATCCGCCGGTGCAATTCGGATGGTTCTCACCCACGGATACTCGTCTACCGAGACATACGACTCCCGGTGTGCGTCGCCATCGACTACAAGACGCAGATCATTATGTGGATCGACAATGAGTTGCATTCGCTGAACACTATCGACTACGAGGGGAACGGTAGGCAGACTCTGAAGCAGTCGAAGCAGTACTTCAGCGACTGCCAGTCGATGGACGTGTTCAACGGATCCGTGTTCTGGACGTCGCCTAAAGTGAATCGCATCTATCTCTTGGACATAACGGGAAATCCGATGACAGCGCCGGTGGAAACGTTGGTCACATCCGCGTTGGACATCGACTTCGTGAAAGTCATGTACTCCGGGAATCAGCAAAAGGGCACCAATTATTGTCTCAACCATACCTGCGACCACATGTGTGTCCCAAACGGTAAACAAGGGCACCGGTGCCTGTGTTCCGAAGTGGAACAGCTCCAGACATGCAACGACCCGCAGGTTATGTATCCAAAGCCACAAATACCGGTTGTCTATTATTAGCCAATGGACTGCAGTATGATAATAATAAAACACATGTCAAAATGTGAACATAATAAAGTTAAAATTTAGCAAAAATGAATTAACATTAACAAAATCCTAGTTAATGAATAACCCCTACCTTCGCGCCCACCTATTAATTGCAAATAACCTTAAAATTATTGATAAATTATAGTTTACTTACGCTTTCATTTTGCGGTAAAAATAGATACCGATTAGCAGTAAATTAATAGATATGATAATCACTGCTATAATAATCCAATAGTTGGTGGCATTACTAGTCGTGTTCAGCAAAGAATCCAATTTTTGTGATATCCTTCCCATACTATCATCGGTTGTATTCTCTATGAGATTCGTGTTATTAGTTTGCAGTACTAATGTTTCCTAAAATACAATTCAATTACTATAAGAATCTCAAATAATTTTCAAACACTTTTGTCTCACATTCTCTTTACACAGAATTCGATCCTTAGCGCAAACGCACCGGTAGTCTTGTTGGACGGGTAGACAGAGTTGCGAACAATTACGATTGAGACACCTATTTGTGCCATGGATTTGTCGGTTAGGGTCGAGGACACGGATAGCCTGTAAATCCGCGTACGACGTGATCAACCTCTCCACACCTTCCTCTTCATCGGTAATATCAGTTATATATATAGAATTGGTATCAGAATTGGACCAAAAAATGTATTTCCCCAACATATCCATAGAAAATGCTGAACCAAACCGGGAATCACTACTTATTAACCGGTAATTAGTCCCTAAGTAAGTGGTTGATCTCAAATAGTTGGTGTTTGTATCGATCCAATAAACCAATTGTGAGCGTATGTCGAGTGTTAATGTTTTAATATTTCCCGTACTATTATAGAGCACCTGTATGTTAGAGCCGTCCTGATTGGCACGCTTTATGCTTCCCATATATCGGTACGAGTATGAGCTATACGTATATTTTGTTTGAGACCATACAAGTAGTCCATTGTTGGGGTCGACCGCCAAATCATATGAAGTATGAGATTCATTATGAATGACCACATCATATGAGTACAGATTGTGGCCAATAGTAAACACTTCGATACCTTTAGCGACCCCTATATACACTAAATCGTGTATAAAATCATAAGCCATTGATTTGCATTCATAAGGCTTTTTGAGTAATCGTTGATTGTTTCTATACACCGACGGTTTACTTTTATCAATAGGTGCGGCATATAATGTAAATCCAGTAAAAATACCATTTACGATATAAAGCATAAAATTGTTGTTGTAATTATAATCCAATTCCGTAATCAACTCATTGCTTGAGACCAATCCAATGGATTCAATATAATTAGTGTCCAATTCGTGAATATTCTGTTTGACATAAATTCCCTCCTTATAGGATACAAACAATAACTTTGTTTCGTTGTCCAACACTTCATACGGAGTTGAAGGGGTTGTTACTCTATAAATAGGAGTTACGGACACCGGGCTCACAGTGACACAGGTATTCCCGTTCCAAGTCTGCGACTCGCATTGGGAACGGCACGTGTAGTTGCGGTGATTATAACTGGACGGTAGGCACAGTTCGGGACACAAATGAGACGAACATTTATTTCTAGCCATAGGTTGACGCGATTTGTGCACTACTTTCATGGCATTGATGTCTATACCCGATTGCAACACCACATGGACTACCGGTTCTTCACTCGTCTCCTTCACATTCACGCGAAGTATGGTATCGTTTGCATTGTCCGTCCAATAGATGTAATCCCCGAACACATCCATTGCGGTGATAGTGGTCTCTGAGAACAGACTCTTTGACGAAAGAATTAGCCTCTGGTCTGAGCCGTCGTATCCAATAGTGTATAACCGACTGATGGATGAATACGAACTCTCGGAACTAATCCAATAAAGCCTTTTGGCTGTGATGTCGATACTCAAGGTATTCCTTCGCACATACTGTGAATACATGATAATCTGAACGCCCTGTCCGTCCTGTGATGACCGCATTATATGGCTTTTATGTCGAGAGTCACTATAAGTTGGTCTCGAAGAGTATCGACTGTAAGAACTGTAAGAACTATAAGAACTGGAACTGATTTCTGATGGTATGTATTCACTCCAGAATAATAGCGATTCCAACGGATCCACACGAATATCTTTGGCCACACAATGTTGTTGCCTAACAATTGGGATTTGTTGTTTGTGGGGGTCAGTGATATTGACGGCATATATACCAATGTCCTTGGTCGTGTAGGTACACAGGGGGTAGTATATTATATTATGGATGTAATCCAATGCCAATGATTTATAACTTTCGGTTATATCTATTAAGTCATCGCTTGTGTTGCCAGCAATGGACTGGTTGTCGATAATGGGCTGTCTATACA